GAAATTACACTTGACAGGGGGTGAAGTGTCTATTATAATCTCATTTAATAAACTGTTAGGCCATTTAAATATGTTTTCTATCTCATTTATCCACTGGAAACGTGCTTTAGCAATTCATTAACCTTCCTTCTAATTATATGGATATAGGCAGCACTCTGCTATGGCTCCGCAGAACCATAGCACAAGAAATTTTGTTATTTTTCTCAAAGTACATGTTTGTTTCCGAAAAGGGACACAGAAAGGTTAGAGGGATGTAGTTGTTTGTACCCTCCCTTGGATTTACTGGAATAATTACTTACTTGTTGAAACTTAGCCATTACTTCAGTACAGATTTTATTACAGGTCAAAGACACACTTGTGGAAGCAAAACCAAATCTCCTACTAAAATGAAAAATAGCAGATAATATCAGATACAGTACTTCTACTTCAAGGAAAATATAAATAAGTACTTCATTAAAGATCTTCTCAGAGGCAATAAGCTGGCTTGGAAGAGTTCTGAACTTCAGGGACAATCGCTCAACATGGAGCCAAGTTCAAACTTTGCAGTGCTGGAGATATATTACAGTTTTTCTGAAGGGAATGTGGCAGGCTCAGAAGATGAGAATGCTGATAAGCACAAGAGAGCTTCTGGGCTGCAATGTCTCCCAGTGCAGTTTATTTTCCAGTTTAGAGTGAAGTCCAACACTTGCTGCTTTTAAGGAGGAAACAAACTTTCCAGGACAGTTTTGGGGCTGACGGCTGTTACAGAGGTAACAGAGCATACAGGTATGCTTGAAGTACCCAGTGCCTAGAGATGAGCTCATGATGTCTGACATGAGCACTTTGCAAAGTTTGAAGAGTGCTATTTCTCAGCTTTATTATTCATTATTTCAGCTTATATGATCTATAGGCAGATTTAAACCCACTTACTTGAGAATCTGCGAAGGAGATTGTACTGCCTGGATTACGAGGCAGTTGTCCGAAGGCTGCTAATGCACCAGGGGAACCAACCTTGGAATGAAAGCAGGGAAGATCAAAATGTTCTGTCTTCCTTCTGTACTCTTGAGAGAAACACTAGGAAGATTTCCAAGGTATTTTTCATCCTGCTCTATTTTATTCCTCATATTTATTCTCTCACTACAGAAAGGGTGTCACAGGTGTTGTGACAGCTGGGGTTTAGGTCTATGACTACTAAGAAATGCACTGTCACCTCACTTAGCATGTGAAGAGGACGCTCGCTGATGTGTATGCTCAAGTTGCAACAAAGATTAGACCATCCTGCTGCTCCCTGGTTGCACAGTGTCAAGTGCCACACAGACCCTGGTCCATTACTGGTGTTTTTATGTACTGAGTCTGTCACTGGGATAGATAGGAGAATGAGAGAGAGCTCCTCCAATAGTACACAGGCTATCAGGTGTAAATAATAAAATGTGAATGCTGCTTTAAGCAGAAATGTTCCTGTTCTCCCTATGCCTCTGTCTTTTGTGAGCGAGGTGAGGGGTTTAAGGGAAAGCAGACATTACCCTGCATCTATCAAAATATGGAAGAACAAGTACGAAGTACAACATAAAAACTCAGCTTAGAAGAGTGTCTGAGAGCAGTGGGAAAGCACTGCCAAGCCCTGGAGAGAGAGGGCTAAGGACAAAAGTAGGTCTATCAGTTTGTAGACGTGCTCTGAGCAGATATGAGCGTAGTGCTGCCTCTGTTCTGGACTGGATGCTGGATAGCTATGTTGAGCAGTGTTACCAGTCCCACATGGTATTGCATTCAATCGCCTTTACTATCTGCTTCCTTAACAAAGGTTTTAGCTTGAGGATATCCCCTAAGCACCTCTTTATTGTAGTGGAACTCCACTGGCACTTCTCTGACTGAATCAATTTGCATTGGACAAGTAACCAGGACTTTCTGAGGAGGAACGCGGGTTGTTTGGGTAGAACAAGACCACCATCCTTCCACATATACAACAAAGGTGTTGAGGATGAACCCTGGGTGTTATTTTAGAGCCAGACCCCAGTCCCCAGATATCTAAACCCATACATTTGTGAATAACTGATGTTACTTTATTAGCAGTTGTTGCTGCACATAAACTATGTGGAAGTGCACCTGTGAATATCTTTATATACAGTAAATAGGGGAAGAATAGATGCTGCTGGCTATTTTTCATCAAAGATGTCTAAAGGTAAAACACACATGAAATGAGGAATTCAAGATTAAACATCTCAACCAGCCCCTGCTGTGCATCAAGGTGAATAACTGCACAAGAAGAAGGACTGTTATTGAACAGCCTTGTGTTTCCATCTGGTATTTCCTTCAGGTTTTCTTGAGAGGAGAGGGGCCACATGCTGCTTTGAATGGACAGAAAGGGACTGCTTGACATGAGGCTTGCAACTTTGCAGTGAACTCTGGCAAGCCCTGGGATTTGCTGTTGTAGAATAGTGGCATACACAGTACAAAATCTGACATTAGTCAAATAATGAATTTGAAGGAGTGATGGACAGGGATCTATCTTCCAACATTTCATTGTTAAATCTGCTCTTCCCAGAAACTTGGATATTTATTATTCAAGAGGATCTGCCATGGCATTTGGATTTAGCTGAATCAAATGTTTTTGCTATGGGGAGGACTAGGAGCTGAGCAGAAAGACCATGAAATTGTTTTTAAGACCAGTTTCTTTGCCTGTGTAGATAGAAAAAATTTCATGTTTAATGCCATGTAAAGTGCTGTGTACAACAACTTGCTTAACTGAATGAGTAATAAGTAATATGAAAGCGATATAATAATACAAAGACAACATAAAAACTCTTGAGACATTCATGACAAGAATCCCATCTTTTTGCCTCAGTGCATTTCAGAGTGCCCTAAGGGAACCTTTTTTTCCAGAAGAAAAGCTGACTTATGAATTTTCCTATTATATCTAATTGTAAACAGAGATTCCCGTAACAGAATATGAGCTGCCTTGAAAGTGCCTTCATCTCTTAAAACTGGATATTCATCCATGAGGATATTCTCCTTCCCTCCTTTGTCTTTCTCAGATTTCTGCCTCCTCTTTGTACTCTTGGAACTGAGGAGAGGGTTCGTTATTGAAATCTTTGCATTTCATTCTGGAACTCTCTCCATCCTTGGTATCTGTTTCTTTCCTCCTTGAAGCCTTCCTGCACATGTGCACCATAATAGACTCCAACCAACTTCTCCCTGCATAATACCCTGTGAGGCTTGGGTTTGTGGCTACTCCCTGTACCATACTTGTTTACCATGGTCAAGGTCCTCACACACAACGTGTTGCCTAAAGCCCCAGAAAGGGGAACAAAATATGAAGTCCAGAGAAGTGCTGAGCAGGAGGTTTTGATGCTGAAGGAGATGATGGTGTAGTTCAGGAAAGGTACCTATACAATGGTACATTCCTGACTTCATTACATGTGAATTACTACAGCCTTCAAAACAAAAGTCCTCAGGATGCCTCTTTTGCACTGGGCACTTGGAGACGTTAAAATGCTGAGGTGCTGTGCTGAGCAGGCTGTCAGGAGTGGCATGGAGCTAGGGCCATGAGCTGCATGGTATATTTGAACTTACTTGTGGGTGGATAATTGTACGATAGTCATCCTTCCTCATCCTAAGCATTATAATGGAGATAGGATAAAGAGTTCCCCTTCCTGTCTTTTGAAACCATGGTTTCTGCCAGGGCAGATGAACCCTCTTCTACTTCACTGTTCAGCTCTTACAGTCCTGCCTCCTACCTTACTGACAGATGTGAGATTCCCCTGTGCTCCCGCACAGGAACTGGGTAGGTTATAAAGTGGTTACAAAGCTTTACCACAATGAATGCAAAGACACAGCAGGAATGAGAGTGGAAACATCAGGCAGAGAAACCAGTAACCTCAGCAGTGTCTACAGAGCTCCAGACCTGCTCCCTGTGATTGTTGGAGGAGAGCCATCAGCCACGGGCACCTGATGAACTCTACTGAAGAGTCAGAGGCATCACCCCCTCCCCAGAAGGACTTGCAGACTGATGTGGTGAGCACCCACAGGGGCATGGGACTCATGGGGGCTGTAGGGGAATAGCATTTGGGGACGCTGTAGTATTTCTTAAGAAGTGTTTTAAGGGAGTTGTGGCAATGTGCAAGTATTAGTATGGGACATTTAGGGAAAGGATCAGAGATGGTTCTGCTGTGGGAACTAGTATGAGAAAAAAGGGGATCAAAGATGCTGATCTGGGTGACATCTGCCAGTCAGTACATTCTTCTGGCCAAGGACCGAGACCTGCACTTTATCACCACAGCCTACAGTCTTACTAAATATTCTTGCATAATAATAAGAACTATTTGTCACCACTGATACTAATTACTCTGATGTTCTCTACACTGACTTTCTGTATGGGCACACCCTCTATTCTGAGCACATGTGACAGACCACCAGCAACCTTCAAGCCAGATGAGTGGGCAGAAGCACCTGAGCCGAGTGCCAGCAACTGGGATGGAATCATGAACCTCAGAGGCTGGAGGGTGCCAGTGCCAGCACCTGGGGAAACTGGGGCCTGAGGCAAGCTCTGGCGCAGACTCAGTAACTAATGCTAGCTACCAGAGAGACCCCTTTTCCACGTGTGAGTACAGATTTCACCAGTGGACGCTAATGCTGATCAGCAGGAAAGGAACAGTACCTGCCATTTGTATTGTTCATGTGTGTGTGAGCACTGTGTGTGTGTGTATGAGTCTGTGCAGGTGTAGGCACAGTGTAAAGGCACTGCTCTCTGTGTTCATCGGTGTCTGGCCACACGCGTGTGTGTGTGCATGCACTCATGTGTGCACCTCCTGGTAACATGTCCTCAGCCTTGCTGCAGGCTGGGCCTGGAGCAAGGACCTGCAGAAACCTTGCATCAGCTGGATGAGGGCAGGAGGAAAGCCCCAGGGTGCTGTAGCTGTGGGATCTGGCTACCCTTGATAAAGCAAGACAGAAAAAATGTGCACTGCTAATTGTGCAAGAACAGATTCAAGGTTTAATGCCGTACAACTTTGCCGATGCTGCCGTGGGTGGGGAGTCAGCTTACTGACAGCAGAAGACCCTCAGGTCATTAAGAGCTCTGTCATCCCTCTTTCCCTGGGGTCCCTGCACCTGTGTTTGGAGCCCACAGATAGCCCCAGAGGTGCAGTTGCTGCTGCATGGGCCAAAATGACCCCTTGAAAGTCCCCTGCCCTCCAACGTTGTCCTGTTTGAGCAGGCGAACTTCACATTGTTGGCTGCCGTGTTGTCATGAAAGTACTGCCACTTTTCCACACGCAGGGAGAAGGAAACCAGCTTGCTGCTGGAGCAGAGCTGGGCCTTGGTCCAGTTTCCCCACATGCCAGAGAAGAAAACAAGTTGCCAAGCCTTTGTTCAGCCTCTGCTGTGCTGCAATCAACACTGCAACGTGCTTGGGTTCCTGGCAGTCCTGGGGCAATCCTGCACCCCTACACAGAGATGGAAGGTTTCTAGGAGCACCTGTTTCACTTTGCTTCCCCATCATTACCTGGATGCCCAGCCACCACCAACACCAGGCTGCTCTGTTCCTGCAGAACCCTTTGGTAATTTCAGCTGTTTGCTTTGTCCCTGTTACTTGATGCCCTTTTCAAAGTAAACGTTTGAGGAAAAGGAGAAAGTACACGTTTAAGAACTGCATTTTTTTGAACTCTCCATCATCTTTGACAGCACTGTTCCTTTGCCTAGGACCAGATTTTTTCTGTAAGACCTTCACACTTTGTGGTCAAGGGGAACTCACTGACCTCTGCAAGCAGGTGGTGAACTTCCTTCACAGGGGTAGGGGGGCCTATGGAGAAAGTGCCCCTACGGGGGCACTGTGCTGCTTTTCCTTCATATTTCCCAGAAGCTTCTGACCTGAAGGAAGATGAGAAAGTGAAGATACTCACCACCCCCACAGAGGACTCAATGACTGTGCTGTCCGTGCACAGCAGGCGGATGCCGTTCAGAGCCGTGTCATCGGCAAACAGCCAAAATCCCTGGTAGGGCTGGACCTTAGAAGAGGGGAAGAAAATAGGAGAGGTCAGCACCATCCCCCATTTAAAAGAAGTGATGAGGTGAATCCTCGTGATGAGGGGTGGTAGGAGGCTTTATGTACAGAGTGAGACGGCGCAGCTGAGCAGGGCTGTAAGGCAGCTCCGTAGCATTTCTCAGGAAGGCCTTTTTGCTGTTGCCCACCTCTGTTTTTCTCCAAATGGTGGGGCAGTGGCTCTGGACACAGGAATGCTGGGTGGCTGCTGTCCCAGGTCATGCCCACACTCTCACCATGCTCTGTGATAACCAGACCTGTCATGTTGTCAGATGGGACTTGTCCCAGACACCCAGCAACAGGATCTGCTGAACTGACTCCAGGTCTTTTTTTTACCCATTGGACTCCTCTGCTAAGAAATCATTTATTGGCAGGGAGCCTGGAGAGCTACTCTACGCTAGAGAACTCTTGCTGAGAAGCCTGCATGAGCAATGCAAATACAGTGCAAACTGCTGCGATGGGACAAAGTGTTGTGGCCAGCCCTGCTAAGACCAGAACAAAATAACATTGCTTCACAGCAGGTTTTCTTCCCCCCATGAAGAAGAAGTGAAATCTTACCTTCAATTCAAATCCCTTAGCATAGCCAGTGGGGCAAAACTGTGTGTGCCTCCAGGAACCCCAGGGGCCTCCATTTGGCACCGTGAGCACTGACTCATATTGCTGTGCCTCTGTGCCCTGGAGGCAGCAGGAGCCCAGCAGGCAGAGGATGGCTGGGATGAGCAGCTGCATTGCAGGGAACCTGCTCAGTGCCTTGCTACATGGAGGTGAAGGCACAGGGGAGTTTATTTGCCAGGAGAGTGGGTGGGAGTCCTTGGGGAGTGTTTGCAAACCTCATGGGGAGTGCTCATTGTTGCTAGGTACTGCTCCTGGTGACTGCCTGTCCCTCAGTGGTGAGGCCACCTTTGCCAGGTGGAAGGGCTGTCGCTGGTATGCACTGGTCAGGGGACTTGCAGAGCTGTGAAAACTTGGGGATGTGAGGAAGTGGAAGGGGGTCAGAACTGGGACTATTTGCCAAGGGAGTGCTGTGGTTTGGAAGAGGGTCCTGACAGTGCTGCCAGGAGGGTTGGAGAGAGAAAGATGGGAAGAGCAGTGGTGAACTGGAAGGGGAAGAAACCTTTGAAGGGGATGAGGCAAAATTTGAGATGGAGCAGTCTCAGGGTCCTTTGCCTTGTGGAAGTCCTCACTTGTTTCCTTCTTGCTTTCCTCCTCTCCTCACCATCCTACTACTGAGGTTGAGGAAAATGCCTTCACAGGAAGCCATTGCATTTTGCTCTGGGACAGGCATTAAGTGTGGGTGACTAAGTGTGTCAAGCCCTCCTCACAGAGTGAGTGCTTCAGCAGCCACCCATCTCATGGACCCTTTGCTGAATTTAATCCAGGTTATTATGTCCGCATCCTTCTTTCACTGGGGACCAGAGAATAGGAGCAAAACTTCATGCAGGCACATCATCCCACGGAGTTGTGCCGATGCAGCTCCTAGCTGTTCACGTGTATCTTTAGGAGATGTGAGCATCCAGAGAAGTGGGAGAGTCCAGCAGAAGCAGTCCCTACTTCTGCAGTTGTGCCTCTCTCAGATGTGAGTTCCTGCTGCATTCCTTGTTCCTTCAAAGGAACTAGCCAGAGAAGCACAATATTGACAGCAATATTCAAGGGTATCCTGTGAGTAGTTGCGGAGTAGGATGAGCTGCTCCCGGTCCACTGAAGAGTGGACTCCACCTGGAGAGTTGTCTTGTGAGGTTTATATCACCAGTATATCAGAATATATGAGTAGGATATGTGTATCTCAGTATATCCCAGCCCTATAAGTGTAGTTGAGGTAGGAAGAAAGAGTTATTCCAGGCTTCAATCACTGAAGAATGGAATAGCCTGCTTCTGTAAGAGCTGTTTTGTACAGGGGAAGGAAGAAGTGTTGCTTTCAGCTGAAACCCTCTAATGTTACCCCTTGGGTATAATTGTAAAGGTCTTCAGAAACTCGCAGTACCTCAAAGGAGACAATGAGAACAAAGACTGTTTTACTGTGTTATTGTGCCTCATATACAGCATGAACATGTCAGGAAGAAGACAACAGTGACAAAAGGCTGTGTGGTCAGGGTCCTGGTCAGGAGAGTGTATAGCTCATGGCTATTTTGTCCCTCCCCTCCTGGTGACATAGGGCTTTCTAAGCTTGAGGTGTTGACTGGATTTCCTCATAAGAGTGACAGCAACCACAGCAAGAGCAATGGGCCATTAACAGGTTCCATGTGTAATGAAGAGCTATGAATAAGTGATATTATCAACCCTCTTCATTAACCATGCTGGCTGCACAATGAGGCTTCAGGGTACATGGAAAGTTACAGCTTTGGGGTGGAGCAGTGTCAGAGACACTGTACAAGGATCTTAAAGAGAAGTAGTGAGGAGTAACTAGGTGGGGGAGGATATCCTGAGCTGGCTGATACCAAAAAGGTAGAGATATTTCACTGTTTGTAGTTACATCCACAGAGCTGAATCTTGCTCTGTTTGAGTCCCTCTTACTGACGGGGCCTGTTTTCTCTGTCTTCCGCTTTCACACAACTTTTCCTGTTTCCTCTCTGTCAAACAGTCTGAGTTCCAGCCCCAACAGTCCTGCCACTGCAGGTGGAAGAACAGAGATCCCGGCTGCAAAAAGATCCTGCTCAGCATCTTTCCTGATTTTTTGTTGTTCTTTTCGGCTGCCTGGTGAGGAGGTGGCAGAGACAGTGGCACTGGGTCAGTGGTTCTGGGATATTCCAGCAGTAAGCAGTGAAAACTATTCACACAAGTAATTAACTGCCTGTGGGAGAAAGCAAACACTGCATGCATTTCTATAACTTCACTGTGAGAAGTAAGAAAACAAATAAAGAACCAGTCTCAGCTTTGTATTTCTCTCTCCTGTCTCTCATTAATTTTTAACCCTTGCAGAGTGATGAATCTTCTTCTTGAGTCAAAGAATTTCCCCTCCATTCTGCCATCCACCCACAGCCCTTTCCCTACAGAAAACCTTCCCAGCTCTAGGAGCGGAATAAGGACTGGACTGAAATGAAGACAGTGGTATCAGTGTCAGCAGTTGAATTTGTGCTGCTGTAGTGCACGGCCAATGAGTACTTTTGGGTAGATCTGCTCATACGCTGGTCTCCCCTGAGTATCCAGTGATGTCCTTCATATGCCTGCTAATAAGCATTCTGTCATCTGGGGAAGATCTTTCTCTTCACCCTGTGCTTGTTTTTCCCTTCAGTTAACTTACAGTCCTCCAATCAGGCAGGAAAAGTACCGGGCTCCAAGTGCAGGATGGGTGGATTTTTAATTATGTCACTTTGGAAAGCTGGAGTTTGAGCTCAGTGAGTCTGGCAATTTCTGTGCTGGTTAGGTATGGCTGCTAGTTGCAGGGTCATATGTGACATATCCCATCTTCTTTTAATCAAACTGTTGGAAGGCAGGATAGCATTAGACTCACTAGAAGACATGACGGCTAATGCAGACCAAAGATTAGTTCTGTGTTTTTCAAACATACAAATTAAAAGGAAATATTTGGTCTTCTTTTTGGAGAACTTGAGTCCTCCTCCCTGTGATAAAAAAGAACTGTGAGTTACAATGAAGACAAAATATTTGAACAGTGCAGATGCTTGAAATAATCAGAAATCAGCAGAATAGAGAAAGGTGATCATAGAGCCGAAACATCAAGAGTAAAGAATGAAGTGCTTGCATTGCATGTATACAGTTACACTGTAGATGCCTAAGTGCAGATAGGTGACTCCCACTTTCTGTAGGCCAGAAGGTATTTTGTTATTTACTGCCCATTTATAAGATGGTGGGGCTTTCCAGGAGCTGTGTTCTCAGTTGAACTTCTCTAGCAGCATAAACCTTAGATGGTGGTAAGAAACAGCTACTTTAAGTTGTGTGTGGGCTGAAAACATTCTTTCAATGGCCCTTGTACTGTCACTGGAGATAAAGCCACTTAAATTGTTCCCACAGCTAAAAAACTAAAGATAGTTTTTTTGATAAAGGACATAGTATCAAGAATTCTTCGGTGCTGCCAAGAGGGTCAGTCAGCCTTTGAAACTGACTGAGTACTCCTGTTGCTGTCATGTCAGTTTAAAAACAGATCCAGTGGCTCAAGAGATATTTGCTCTCCCGTGGTCCTCCATGGGCTGCAGGAGCACAGTTGCCTCGCCACTGTCTGCACAATGGGTTGCAGGGGAATCTCTGCTCCAGCGCCTAGAACACCCCCTCTTCCTCCTTCCTTGGTGCCTGCAAGGCTATTTCTCTCACTAGGCTCACTCTCCTCTCCCAGCTGCTGTGCAGCATTTTTACCCTTTCTTAAAAATGTTATCACAGAGATGCCACCAGCATCACTGATAGGCTCAGCCCTGGTCAGCAGTGGGTCCGTCTTGGAGCCATCTGGCACTGGCCCTGTCTGACATGGGTGGAGTTCCTGGCATCTTCTCACAGAAGCCACCCCTGCAGTTCCCCCACTACAAAGACTTTCCTACATAAATCTGGTACACAGTGGCAGACTCCACTGTAGTATCTAAGCTGGAAAAAGAGGCCTATAGTTACTCAGATCAATTTTCATGCAAATTTTAAAAACTGATGACTGTATAGTTTTCCAGTAATTTTAAATGACATGTTATCCATCTCTGCTATGGCCTTATGTCTTCCAGTTTAGAGGCACCTTAGACCTCTTGAGTACTTATTATCACTTCTACTCATTCCTTGTTATTCACTCTGTCATTTTTTTCATATCTCCTCTAAAGTAATTTTGATTTCTACCTAATCTTTCTTATGATTCCCATACCCTAAGAATGACTAGAATGTCTGAACACAAAGTTTCTTCCACTATGAACATTGAACAACTAAATAATTTAAAATAGCCATATCTGCTGTAATCTTCTTTCATACAGTCAGCTGGTCCTACAGATTTTCTGACATGCTCTTGAATCTTTGATGTGAAGAAACATTAATAGTGTTAAT